CGTGGGTGAGGCCAACTGGCCTCACGTCCCTCTTTTGTAGGCAAAAAGAGGGTGAGTAGCGGCGCGCCGCTACCTTTGCTGTGCTGGCCACGTTTCCACTTTCACAATACACAATTTTAGAAAGAGTGTAACACTTTCAAAAATTATCATTTCTCATATACTAGTACAAGGGTTCAACTACCTTAACTTCCGCTGCATTACTCAAGTCTCATTCTTCAACTGGGACTTACGGTAGTCTCTGAAAGATCCTAAGGGCTTTTCTCAGCCCTACACAACAGATTGTGTCAAACATGTCTATTTGTTATGTGTGTATAGACTGTATAGGGTAGCCTCTTAGAGGGTACAACACTTAGCTATATTGTGTGTACTCTCTCTCTATCACTATGACTTGAATTTCTGATAGATTGCGCCTAACCCACACCGTGGTTGGTCAGTCAGCAATGTGGCTCGTCAGACAGTCACTTGGTCATTATCATGTGATGTTTGCCCTAAACCTCAAGGTTCTGCTTAGCGGTTAACTGAAGCCCATTTGTATAATCCAGCCATGTGGTACAGTGTGGCTCCATTCACCCTTTGAGTCAATTAGAAAACCAAGGATACTGCCCCGAAAAAGGATGCATGGAAGCTGCGTGCCTGCAGCCCCAGCTTCTGGCGTTTCCCATAGTGAGGATGCACTGAGAGGAAGCCATGCAGCCATGCACTCCCAGAATGGCAGCCAGGGGAGGTGCAGCACTGCAGAGTGAGCAGCAGCAGAACAGGGATTGTGAACATGATATGGCAGAGGATACGAGCTGGCGCGGGCTGTGGGGCATGGCAGTGAGGGATGCTCCTCCAGGGTAAGGAGAGTGAGCAGCAGGGAACTGGTTATTGGGACAGAGATATGGGGGATATGGCGGATCGGATCCAGGGGATAGGATTGCAGGGAGGAGTGATACAGGGAATAGAGAGGGATAGAGCCTCATAGAGCCCTCCGCCTCCCGCCTCAGGCAGAGAACACTCTACAAAAGAGAGGCAGTCCAAGCTCCTTCCCAGGGAACTGCATGTAAAGCACGCTGTGAGGATCGTTGGCACCGTGAGTGTTGGGCTTCCGTGCAATGCCAGCATCGCTGCCAACGGACCCACCCACCTTCCCATTGCCCCCCAGTGCACACACGCACCGCTGGAGCGCCACATGCCTCTCATACTGGTACTCACTGCGGGCATATCAAGGGGATGCACGTGCACGCAGTGGCTGCACGCCGCAGACATCTCCCTTGCGAACACTTCCTCTCACCCCTCCTACTGCCGCACACCCCACCACGCACTGCTGCCAGCTCACATTGTGTGGCTGCCTGGCTGCCCCGTCACGGCGCGCTCCCCTGCTCGCTGCCCGCGTCCGCCCACTGGCAGGCGCCATACTGGTGCTGCGGTTTGCTGTGGCGGCGGCGGTGCATGGGCGCGGGCAGCACGCCCAGGGCCTCGGCGACGGTGGTGACGCGGCACTGCAGGCCCGGGCGCACCACGTCGCCGTACACCGCCATCTCCACCAGGTCCAGGTCGCGCTCTGGGGAGGAGGGGGGGGGATAGGGAAGTAGGGCGAGGACGGCCTGAGTGTGGGGCGCATGAGAGGTGGGTGTGAGGCAATCTGGTGGTGGTGCGCATGGTGTGGCGGTGCACGAGGCAGACGCATAACGGAGCAGGGAGCAGAGCGCAGCGGTTACAAGTTACCAGTGAGCGTGAGGTGGCAGGAGGCGTGCGAGTACTCCTGCGGCGACAGCTGGTCCTTGTCGGACTTGAAGCGGTTCACCCGCGTCTGCAGCAGCTGGCAGTTCTCCACCGATGTCGCCCCACCTGCTCCAGGGATGGCAGGGATGGCAGGGATGGCAGGGATGGCAGGGATGTTGAAGGATGGGGCAGATGGATGGCGCATGCATGGCACGCTGTGGCGGCCTGGGGTCGTGGAAGGTAAGAGCAAGCACGCCATCACAAGCACCACTGCGTTCCACTGCGAATCGCACCACTGCTAATCGCTCTCTGCGTTACACTGTTACCGATCTGCACCACTGCTGCAGCTCACTTCTGACCGCACTCCGCCCGTGTCAGCGTGGCGGCCCTGGTGGGCTCACCCTTGGAGTAGGGCACGATGTGGTCGAACTCGTAGCACAGGCACCCCTGGCACGCGTTGAAGCGCCGCGCCACCGTGTTGCCCGCCGCATCCACGCGCCACCTGCCGGCCAACTCCATGCGGGCCGCACGTGCGGGGGAGGGGGAGAGAGCTTCAGGGCGGGACGAGAGAGGAGAGGAGGGGAGGCGAGAAGAGACGAGGAGCGGAGGGGAGAGGAGAGCGGATGCGAGGGGAGGTGAGGTGGATGGCAGGAGCGCGCATGCGCCGTGGCATACCTGTCCGGGTAATTTTGAGAATTCTCAAAAATACCCTGCAAATGTGAGGTGGATGGCAGGAGCGCACGTGCTGCATGACTTTTGAGTCGACTCAAAAAGCACACCTGTCCGGGTGGCGGCCAGGAACGACGTCCGCCTTCTCCCAGCACGCCTTGCGCATCGCATGGTCGAAGAATCGCAGCCGTCGCCCGTCGCACTGCGACGCCTGCCCGTCGCCCGTGCCCTCCTGTCGGCTGGACGCGGCCACGCCCGTGGCCTGGGCGTCCGTCCACCCGCCCGTGGGCACAGCGTCGTCCATGCCTGCCCCGCTCTCGCGCTCGCTGCGCCCGTCACGCCACACTACAGTCGGCCAATAGCACTGCGTGTTGGCCGCGATGCACGCTGCGTGCTGGCCGCCACCCGAACTCGCCCGCTTCAGCTGCCACGGCGGAGGGCGGGTCAACGTGGATCGGGGGGCAGAGGTGGGTGTGGCGGCGGGGTGCAGAGGAGCAGGGACTGGAGAGAGCTGGGGGGTGACGGCTGCGTTTTGCAGGCAATTTTGGAAGGTTCCAAGTCGCGTCCAGAAGGTTCCGAAACAGCGTTTTTTTGGTCCGGTATCTGGGTCAGCCCGAAAAAAAGTGCCAAACCAACCTCGAGCTGTCCGAACCTAGAAGAGTAGCATTGCCTGCAGAACGCACACACCTCAACGCAGAGGTTGAGTTCACGAAGGTCGGGGGGCAGATTCGCGCCCAGGCAACTGTGGACTCTGCCGCACCTCCAAGTGGACTCCGCCAAAACCGCAGGGGGACGTGGTGGAGTCAGGGTACCCTTGCCCTTGACGACACCACTTGCGCAGCTTCACGGCCTGGTTTGGGAAGGCCCAAAGTGGCTTGGGTGGTTACCACTGCATGCGAAACGACAAGCGCTCCTTCCTGAACTTCACCTCCGCCGCCAAACCCGCTACCTGCAGAACACAACCGACATGGGGAACTCGAAAGGGGAAAGAACGGGGAAAGGGGAAAGATTTTGTTGCAACAAAGCACACATTTGTGTTGGCAAGAACGCTACACAAAAACAAATCTGTACAGACCATTCTAAGCATCGCGCATATCTGGCGCAATTTCACGCGGCGCATCAATCCGCGCTGCTCTCACTCCTTCCGCCCTTCTCCCAGCGCCCAACCTGCCGTTTGCGCGGGCGCTGCGCGAACACGAGGGCAGTCCCGCAGGGTGCATGAGTTGCGGGCACGAGGCAGCAAGGTGTGCTTGAGGTTCGAGGCTTGCGTTAGAGAGTTCTGAATTGGCGCGGCAGGCGCCATGAAGGTGTACGCGCACTGGGACGGCGACCCGCACTTCACGCTCATCGCCGTCGTCGCTGATCGCGCCGTCGCGACGACCGCAGGCGACAAGAGCGGCGTGCGCACAGCGGGCGAGCTGCTCGAGGTGGGGGCGGGGGGCGGGCGGGTAGGGGCGTAGGAGGGTAGAGAAATTCATTACTGTGATGACGAGAGCTTTGCTCCCCGCCGTTCTCTCTTTCTCTTTCTCCCTTTCCCTCCCTCCTTGGCTTTCCCCCTCGGGTACCGCCCCGTTCCTCGTGACTCGCCGTCCCCCCCCGTGCAATCCCGTGCGCCATCCTCTTCATTCCCTCCTCCCCGCCTTCCCTCTCCCCCACGTGCACTCGTCCCCCATCCCTGCAGCGATTCGCCTCCGCCTTCAACGCCAAGGTGCGCGCATACCCATGCCACCTGCGCTCAGCACATGCCACCTGCGCTCAGCACATGCCACCTGCGCTCAGCACATGCCACCTGCGCTCAGCACATGCCACCTGCGCTCAGCACATGCCACCTGCGCTCAGCACATGCCACCTGCGCTCAGCACATGCCACCTGCGCTCAGCACATGCCACCTGCGCTCAGCACATCCCTCCTGCGCTCAGCACAATTCTCCTGTTCCATCCCGCCCTGTGCTCCAGCCCCTGTGCCTTCCTGGCCTCCCTACTTTCCCCAGCCTCCCCTGCCTCCCAACCTCCCAGCCCCCCCCTCCTTCTCAGCTTCCCCAATCCCCCTTGCCTCTGCAGCTTCCCCAGTCCCATGTTGCCATGTTCTTCATCTTCCGAATCGCCATATTCCCATGTTCCCCTATCCCCAATGTTCCATATTCCCATCTCCGCATACTTTCATATCCAAACCCATATTCCCATGCCGCCATATCCCCATCCTCCCATCTTCCCATACTCCCTGCCTGCCCCCCGTCTCAGTAAACTGCCGCCGTCTTACACTCAGTAAACTATTCCTGTCTCGCAATACTACCCTCCTCTCATTGCCCTACCCCCCGTCTCCGTCCCTATCCTCGTCCACTTGGCCTTGCTTGCTGCCCCATGCACGTCAAACTCAACCCGCCATGCCCCCAACAGCACCCCTCCCATGCCCCGCTCTCACCCTCGCTTCTCTCCCTCCACAAAGCAAGGTGAGCCCATGCCGCATGCCCCATGACCCCATGAGCCGCATGCCCTGTGTTGCTTCCACTGGCCATGCACCCCATCCACCACATAGCATTCACTTTCCAATGTTGCGCTCTGTCCGCTCCGCACTCATTCTCGCCCTCTTTTGCGCTCTGCCACTGCTCCACCTCATCTCCTGTCCTGCCGTTCCGCCCGTCGCTCTGCCGTACCACACCATGGCATGCAGGGGTCAATTACTTCCTCCCACTGCGGTACTGAGCAAGGCAGCACATGACCTGTGAGTGGGCAGCACATGACCTGTGAGTGGGCAAGTGGGAGTGAGCTGCTATCGTTGGGCCATTGAAGCAGGCTACGTGCCATGTGCCACCATCCATGTGCCATGTGCCACCATCCATGTGCCATGTGCCATGTGCCACCATCCATGTGCCATGTGCCACCATCCATGTGCCATGTGCCACCATCCATGTGCCATGTGCCACCATCCATGTGCCATGTGCCACCGTCCATGTGCCATGTGCCACCGTCCATGTGCCATGTGCCACCATCCATGTGCCATTACAACATCATCCCTGCTCCCTCCGCTGTGTCTCTCTGTCCCTTCCACACGGCCATGCATGCCCCACACACCAGCGACGACTTGTTTGTTCGTCAAAAAGTTGCAACGCTCAAACCATTGCCACCAGCACAGCAGCAGCAGCAGCAGCAGCAGGTGGGGGCGGAGAAGGGTGGGAAGGAGGTAGCAGTGGGAGCGCTGTCCCATGGCGTGAGCGCCATGACCGTGGGGCCTCCCACCGCCCGTTCTCCACCTGCTGCCGCCGCCACTCCCTCACCCGCCCCCGCCAGCCGCCCCTCATCCACTGTGCGCTCTGCGCCTGCTGCCGCCATCCCCCGAACCCCAGCTGCACCCCTCTCCGAGGTGCTATCCCCGCCTGTGCTCTGCCCTTCACACTGCTCTCCCTGCTTCGCCTCCCTCTCACCCCCTCATTCTATGCCTGCTGCCGCCCTCTCGTCCGCGTCTGCTCTCATGTACCCGCCTGCTCTGCGTTGCTCGCAGACCACCACTGAGCCCCTCCCCTTGCTCCCCCTTCTCTGCCCCCTCTCTCCCATCCCTCCTGTTGCCCGCCCCTGTTTCCGCCAGTCGCCTCTCACCCTGCCGCTGGTGCGCCACGCAGCACAGCAGATGCTGCACGCGCAGAGGCAGGGCCAGTACAGGGTACGAGGGCTGGGGTGTGGCGTGGGGGGGTGGGAAGGGCAGTAGAGTGCCGCAGTGGAATGCCCGGCTTCCTGCCAGTGCCGTGCTGCACTCGGGTGCTTGCTGGGCCGTTTCTTCAAGGATGTCATCCTGGCCTATAGTCTGCTCCTCTTGGGTTACGCTTGCTTCGCACTCCTTCTTCCATGAGTGACACTGTGTGTGTATTTTTGAGGCGCCTCAATAATGGAGAGAGATCGAGGTGGAAGAGGGGGTAAGGGTAAGCAGGCTGGGGAAGGGGAGAGGTAGCATGGTTACACACAATCCACCTATGCTAGCTCTACTCCTACCTCCCTGTCCCCCCTCCCGTTTTCTCTGACCCCGTTCAGCATGCCATTCTGTTGGCGAATCAGCTGCTCGCTGTGGCTCCCAACCTCAAGCTCTGCTACCGGGCGCTTGGTGAGTGGGCAGAAGAGAGGGGACGTGGGGGGCTTAGGGGTTTGTGTGTGCTGCGCACACATCATGCTGCTGCACCACCGCATGGCATGCATCACATTCAACACCTCCTTAAACACCACCACACCATCACAACTGGTGCATCCCATAAAAGTAAGCAGCACCATTTCTTCTCTCTCTCCTGCTTCCCCCCACCTCTCCGCCCGACCCTCCTCCCCCTCCCCCCCCGCACCCCCCCCCCAGCCGCCATGCACATGGCCATATCCCGCCACGACCGCGCCCTGCCAGTTCTGCAGGCCGCCGTGGAAGCGCACCCATCAGACGCGCTCTTGGTGCTGCGCCTGGCGCAGGCGACCCTGCACCTGGCGCAGCCCAGCGACGCCCTCTCCCTGGCCGACCGCGCTCTCTCCCTCGCGTCGCAGCAGGGGTGGCCGCAGCACAGCACGCGCAGGAGGGGCGTGGCGGGCCAGGGGGGGGGGGCGCGGGGCATGGTGGGCGTGCTGGGCAGCAGGCAGAGCGCCTCTAGAATGATGCAACGGGCGCGGGTCAGCGGACAGCAGGCTGCCGAAATGTTTGGTCTGCCCGAGGAGGAGGAGGACGACGATGAGGGGGAGGGTGGGGAGGGTGGCAGGGGCAAGCGTGGCGCGGGGGGAGCATGGGATGTGGAGAGTCCCTACGTGGGTGATCCGCATGGCGATCTCTCATTGGACGACATTAAGGTGGTGTGTGGGCGTGCGCTGCTGCAGGTGGGGGCGGTGGATGTGGCATCAGCCGTGGTGGCGGGTGTGCTGCAGGGCGACGAGCACCACGAGGACGCGCTCGTGCTCTATGGGGATGTGCTGCTGCGGCAGACGGCAGGCAAGCAGACGCCACATGGACAACCAGCGGAAAGCCCCAATGGCTGTGGAGCACAGAGCGAGGAGAATGAGGGGGGAGGGGGGAGTGTGGAGGAGGAGGCGATGAAGGCGTATTTGAGAGTGCTGCTGGCGCGCCCCCACCATGCCACAGCGCGTGCCAAGATGGCCCATGTGCTGCAGCACCACCCCTCTGCGCGCCGCCTGCTGCTCTCGCAGCTGCAGTCGGGCGCAGGCCCCCCCGCAGATACGGCGCGCGCGCTGGTGTTCTTCGCCTCGGCGTGCAAGGACCACAGCGCGCTGGACGCCGCCCTGGCGCTCATGCAGCGCGCCGTGGCGCTCACCCCCGGGTGCTGCAGCCACGTGCTGGCGCTGCTGCACCTGCACGAGGTCATGCTGCATGGCTGCGCCGCGCTGCACCTCGCCCTCTCCTTCTGCCACGCCCACCCTGATTTCCGGCTCGGCCCTATCACGCTCGCCGCGCTGCTGCCCTTCTTCCAAGGGCTGCCTCTCCACGCAGGCAGCTGCGAGGATGTTTCGCCCTGCCCGCATGAGCGGGGCGTGCAGCTGGAGTACCTGCGGTGGTGGGATGGTGGGGGCTCGCAGGATGGGGGTGGTGGCGAGGCTGGGGCAAATGGTAGGGGAGCAGATGCGTGTGCTGGCATGGGGACAGACGCAGGTGCGGGAGGAGGAGGCAAGGGCGAGGGTGTGGGAGCAGGGGAGGGCACGGAGGAGTACAGGTCGGAGGAGCTGGACGTGCTGGCCATGCTCATGACGGCGGTGAAGGCGCTCTTCCTGGGGGGGGCCGTGCGGCGCGCCAAGGCGCTGGGGGCGCTGGTGGAGCGAGCGCGGGTGGCGTCCAAGGTGCCGCTGCACGAGACGCTCATCCGCAATGAGGCCGCTTACTTCGGCTGCGCCTTCCAGCTGCTCACACACTACCCCATCACACACTCCCTCTCGCACAACTCCCCACCACCACTGTTCCTTGCAGGTCAGTTCAGCGGGCCTGAAGCGAATGATACTCTTCCCTCCCTCCCTTCTCTGTAAACCCTCTGTATTCCTCCCTCCTTTCCTTCCTCCTTCCCTCCTCCTCCTCCTCCCATCCCATCCTCTGCTCCTGCCTTGCGTCCTCACCTCCATTGCTGCTTTTTCTGCCCGTTCTCTGTTCGTGCACCAGTAGAGCATGTCACCGCCTCAGGCAGTGCACGTGTCGTCACCGCATGTTCGTTCCCCCTTCAAGGGCCATACTTCTCCCCTTCACCCCTCCAACAGGCGACAGCCACTGTCTGGCAGCAGCATGGCGGGTGGTGCATCTGAGGGGCCAGCCACGTCTGCTGTGCCCGCTGCTAATCACGGGTCTCAAGGCGTGGCACCTGCGCCCCGAGTCAACATTCTTCCCCAAGGTCATCTGCACTCCCCTCGCCTCTCTTCCTACCCCGCCTGCTGTCTCTCTTCTTCAACTGTTCGCTCCCGCATTCATATCTCTTTCACTCATCTCTGCGCCTGCCTCCTGCACTTGCTGCCCCCCCCATGTGTGTGTGTGCCATTCGCCGTGCCAGGCGTCGTTCCACCGCGCCATGCAGTGCGTGCCCCCAGGCAGCGAGGTGGTGGTGCTGTTTGGGGAGATTGACTGCCGTGAGGGCATCCTCGTGTCCGTCGACCGCAACAAGTACAATGCAAGGCCCCTTCGCCCACCCCTCTCCCTGCTCCCGGCAACCCCACCATGCCCACACTGCACCAGTCCCCATGCGCCCTTGCTGCCGTCACACCTTGTTGCCCTGCACATCGCCCTGCCTCCACCTGCCGTCGTCCAACCCCCAACTTTGGTGCTGCGCAGCACCTTGCCTCTCTGCCGTTGCTCTGCCTCTCATTTCTCTCTCTGAGTTCCCCTTTTTCCGCACGCCAGGACGTGGAGGAGGGAGTGGAGGTGACGGTGGACATCTACCTGGCGGCGCTGCTCTCGCTCATTGCGGCGCGCGGCTTTGAGATATTCGTGCACCCCGTGCCATCCATCATCCCTGACACGCGCCCTCTCGCCCGCATCTACAACGCCACGCTGCGCCGCCGCTGCCTGGCTGCTGCCGCCTCCCCTGCTGCCGGGGGGCGGCTGCACATGCTGGACTTCTTCCCCGCCCTGCTCACTCATGACCAAGGTATGGGGGGCTGTGCCATGGAGCAGCGGTGCGAGCGTGGGTGAGAGGGGCATAGTGCATCTTCCCAGTGGCCTGTTGGTGTGTTATGAGTCAAGGCAAGTGTGCATGTGGTCTTTGGCATCCATGTTTCAAGCCTGGGACTCTCTCTGTGTGGGTGGGACTCTAAAAACCTAGTGCTTGATGATGTGTCCTCAATAGATGGTAGTTCCCGCCTAGGCATTTCCGTTGCATGTTCTTATGCTAACTCCTTCCGCTCGCTTGCTCGTCTTGCAGAGTCCCTGCGTCCCGAGTTTGAGTTTGACGGAACGCACATGAATCCTCGCTATGTGCCTCTCCTTGACAAGGAATTGTCGCGCATCCCTGCACCATGATGAGTCATGAGTCATCAGCTCGCCATGCCTTTTTTTCCACTAGGAATCACACATGCATGGGTCGCTGCCTCTAGCCATGCTGCAGAGCCTGACTGACAGCTAAACAGACCTATCCAGTCAAGTTCTTTCAGGGGATGTACGAGGTCAGCTAGTCGTGGGTGGGTACTCAAATGCCAGGGCGTCAGGCCACTCAGATGCCGTAGATAATCGTTTTCATTGCTTTAATATATTATTCATCCCAATGCGCTTGTGACTTGAAATTTCATTGTAATGGAACTTGTTAAACACCGCACAGAACACTCATAACTCCAATTTATAGGTGTTGTTTTTCTCCAATACCAGTACATCGGCGCATGTGGGCCTCCCGTTCACAAACGCGTTCGACTTGCCTTGAGGGGGCACAACTTCTGCCCGTCGCGCCGTCATTTCCACACCCTAGTTCAGCTGCTTCTCTTCGCCTGGCGGGCGTTCAGCAGGCGCCATGGATGGGGAGGAGGAGCAGGAAGGCGGGGCGGGCGCGTTCCTGCCGTACATCAGCAAGCGCAAGCGCAAGAACACGGGCATCACCGTGTCCTTCGACGAGAACGCCAGGAGGTGCGCTCTCCGCCCGCGCCCGCTCCCCACGCCCACATGCCCACCATGCGCGCTCCGCGCTGCTGTCGCCAAACCTCCCCCGTCCTGCCTCTCCCCCCATTTCCCCTTGCTCGTCGTTCATTACGACCCTTCGTGAACCCTCGAGCAAAGCCTGACCCCTGACCCCTGGCCCCTGAACCCTGAACCCGCGCGGTGCGCAGGGAGTTCGTGACGGGGTTTCACAAGCGCAAGGTGGAGCGGCGGCGAGTGGCGGAGGAGAAGCAGAAGCGCAAGAAGCGGCAGAAACACCTGCAGGAGCGGGCGGAGGTCAGCCGCTCTGCCTTGCTCCCGCCCTCGCCTCCCTCTATCGCCGCCTGCTTGCCTCATCCACTTCGGGCTATACCTCTCGCCTCGCCACTCCCATTCTACCCCACTCCCTTGCCCCCAATGCCTCCTCCCCTCTTACGCCTCCCCTCTCCCCCGCCTCTCCCTTTCCTTCTCGCTCTGCGCGCTTTTCCCTTTTCTCCCCGCGCTTTCCCCCCTGCTCGCCTTCCCAACTCCGCAGCGACGACTGGCAGCGAAGAAGGCGAGGGGGGAGGTGGGGCCGGAGGGCGAGGAGCGAGCCGGGGTAGAGGGCGAGGGGGAAGAGGAGGGGGTGGAGGAGGAAGAGGGAGGAGAGGAGGGTGGGGAAGGGGATGAGGTGGACGATGAGGAGGAAGCAGACTTCGGGCGGCAGAATGAGAGGTTGTTATCGCTCGGCCGCACGCCTGCTGCTGCTCCTGTCGGTAAGCCATGCCGTGTGCTTTCCTGCCCGCGCCTCTTCATCCCTGTTGCCCGCCCGCTACTGTTGTGTTCCCTGTCTGTACGCTTTGCGTCCTCTGTGTGTGTGGACGCCAATGATGCTTGTGCGCTGTGCCGCCTCCCATGGCCCTGCTTGCCCGCGTGCTGCCCCGCAGTGTTACACTACGACAGTGGCAGCCTGGAGACCTTCGTTACTGTCACTACCGACTTTGGCACACAGGAGGACGAGGGGAGGGCGGGCAGCGAGGAGGAGGGGGGAGGGGAGGAGGAGAAGGGCTTGGGAAAACTGGGAGGAGTGAGATCAGGGCAGGGTGAGGGGGGTGGTGGGAGGGTGGGTGCAGGGAGTAGGAGCACGGCACTGCAGATAGCTAAAGTTAGCAGCAGGAGAAAAGGGAGGAGCGGTGGGAGGCAACAGGTGAGGAGGCGGAAAAAATCGGGAGAGAAAGGGAAGGACCTAAAGAGGAAGAAGCGCCATGGGGGGAAGTAGGCCTGCTTATTTCTGCCTCCCTGTAGGGATAGATGGCAGTAGGTTGCAAACTGGTAGGCTGTGGTTTGGTGCAAATTTATGAAGTGGTTGCCACCAGGTAGTGGCATAAGCATGCCTACCGGTTTTTTTGCGTCATAACTGGTGTGTGAAGAGGTGAAACATGGTGTGGTGTAGCAATGGTGGTCTAGTATTGCACAGCAGTTGTCTTTGATGCCTGATGGCCAGTGCTCTTGCTCAAGTGGGTTTCCTCTGTCAGCTAGGCTGCAGGAGTAATGCTTTAGTACGGTGCTGACGAGTGCACTATATTATCATATATATACATAAACATACAGCAAAGCAAGCAAAATTTCATTGGGGTCAGCCTGCTGATCCTCTGGCACCCACTTGTGGCGAGGTAGGAGAACAGGAAGCATTGTAGGTCAGCTCTGTGCTTCCCAAGTGAACCTGCTGCATGGCCCCACAACACCAGGAGTTTGTGCCCCCTGCATGCTGACAGCCCGTGTGGCATGCAGGCGACACACGGAAAATTGCAGTGTGCGGCATCAGCAACACCTTCATGAGGGCCCACTGCTGCAGATAGAAGCATCCAACACACCCTGTGAGAGCTGTGCAGTGACAAGCCATAGCAGTGCAGCAGGAGCGTGAGAGGATGAGTTGCATAGTGGTTGTTGGCAGGCGCATCAGTGAGTGCACCAACACTGAGTGCCACTGCATCACGCCACCACCAGTGCCCCCCATGCCACTCCCGTGCGACCAGCACCTGTCGCTCCATCCCCAGGCGCCTCTGCCTTCTCCACCGCACACGCGTCGCCCAAGGGGACCTCACTGCCTCGCGCTGTGTCCTCCTCCCCCACCTTGTTTCCCACGTTTTTTTGCGTCCCTCTCGCACCCTCATCCCTCCTCCCCCGCCCGACCCTCTCAAGCTCCTCGTGCACAAGGAAGTAGGCCGGCAGGTGCGTTCCCCTCCCCCGGGCCGTGCGCAGCACCGTAGCCACCTCAGAGGACTGGGCAGGGGCGGAGAGGGGTGCTTGGGCAGGCGGGGCTTGGGAGCAGCAGCAGCAGGTGCAGGTGCGGGTGAGGGACATCTGGCGGCAGGCGAGCAGCCAGAGCGAGGGGCAGAGGGCGGGCGGGTGCGAGGCAGAGGCCATCCAGCGCGTGGTGTCGGTGACATGGAGCGCGTCGTTGGGAAGCGTGTCGTGGACGCCTCCTATGGACGTGTACCTGATGGGGCGCGCACATGGGGGCGAGGAGAGACGGCCGCAAGCAATGCTGACTCCATGGCGAGAATCGCTGGTGCGGTCCGACAGAGGTTGACAGAGGCAGACAGAGGCAGACAGAGGTAGACAGAGGCAGACAGAGGCAGACAGAGGCAGACAGAGGCAGACAGAGGCAGACAGAGGCAGACAGAGGCAGACAGAGGCAGACAGAGGCAGGCAGTGGCAGACAGAGGCAGACAGAGGCAGACAGAGGTAGACAGAGGTAGACAGAGGCAAACAGAAGTTGTCGGAAGTAGATGTGCGCAGGCAGGGCCCACGAGGGAGTGCGAGAGCGGACGTACCCCTGGTCGTAGAGGCAGCAGTAGGGCACGCGCGTGAGCAGCAGGAACTCCCACACGTCGCGGTACGTCCAGTCGAGGATCACGTTCACGCGCATGAACGCCGGCCACCCGGGCGAGCTCGCCGCAAACACCTCCTGACCCTTCTGCGGTAACGGGACCACAATTCCATGGGGACAATGGGAAGTCCGAGTAAATCTCCTCGAAACGACGGGACGCGACGTGGGAAGAGCGGGCAGATTGTGCGAGAACTCACTCCGTTGGGGTCGATGCTGCGCACGCCCAGGAAGATGGCCTTGACGGGCCGCTGCTGCTGCAGCGCCGCGAGCCCGTGCTTGAAGGCGTCGCCCGTCTCCACCAGGTCCAGCTTGTACCTGCCGCCGCGCCGTGGCGCGCCCACGGAGAGGGTGGGAAGAGGGGGGGGGCAAGAGTGACATGAGATGGCCGCACGGCCGGAAAAAAATCGGAAGTTGAGCGCGCGATGGTGGCGAAAGGCACGACGACATTGAGGTTGACGGGTGAGGGAGAGCGCACGCACTTGCGCGCCATGGCGATGGTGAAGGAGTCGATCTCGGGGAAGGCCTCGCGGTCGCGGAAGTAGATGGCGCATAGCCCGTCGGCACCGCACTCGGGTTGGCGCTGCGAGATGCCGAACGACGCGACCTTGGACAGACTCTTGCCCAGCGGGCGTTGCGAGACAGGCTGCAGCTCCAGGCCGGGCGACGACGACGAGCGCGGCAGCACTTGCGACTTCTGTGCGAGTGCCGCGCGTAGGAGATGCAGTATGACCTGCATGGGGGCACCCGAGAAAGAATGGGCCTTTTGAGCACGTTCGCGCGAAGATCGATGGCGAAGTGTGAACTGCTTCGGAAGCACCGGCAAAAACGATGATCGAATTGCGAATAACGAGACGCACCGTGGAATCCTTCCCTCCGTTGAAGCTGAAGGCCACCTCTTGGAGCCTACACGCGGGGGATAAAAGGATCAGCTGCTTGGATCACGCACGAAAGTACAAGCTGCGAGAAAAGGCGAATCGGCTAGTAGCACGAGCTTACCTGTACATTGCGAGAGTTTGATGGATGATTCCCATGGACTGGTGGACTCGCCTGCAAAGTTCCTGGCTACCGCCATTCTCGACAGCCATGAGGACCTCCATGTGACGTGCAGGAAGACGCGCTTGGATCGCGGGGTAGGGGGTGGCGAACAAGGAAAAAAGAAGGCGAGTGAATGGAGCCACGCGAGTGTATAGGAGATGGGGCTGCTGGAGGGATGTGGGACAGGCGAGCGGAGTCCCATCAAATTATCGTGGCCGGTGCCGTGCTGGATTGCAAACAAACCCAAAGCCCAAAGCCCCGCCACGCCAAGCAGGTAGATGAGGGTGTCGGAAACGAACGGTTTTCCTCAACACCCTACCTAACCGTTTTAGATTGATATTTGATCCTACTGACTCAAAACGCATCTCACCCAACCGCAATCAGATGCCAGCGCAGGGGCGAAGTCGAGTCAGGGAGGGTGGCTGGGGGGATGAGGATAAACAAGGAATGCAATGTGCGCTTCGACACGTCGAGGCGCATCCTTGCAAACGCGCGTTTATTTCAGCCCAATGATGTGGCTTCAGATGTCCAGCAAACCAGAGTGCAGCCAGTCACGCGCGACCCCGGTGGGTGTTGGGCAAGGATTTGCGAATCTGTCACTAAGAGCGGCGAAAATCGTTGCTGCGCAAGCATGGGGCAGCTTTTTGGAAACTCACCCAGGGCCAAGGGGTGAAGCCAGCGAGGCCTTGAGCAATCTCGGTCATGTGCGCTCAAAACTTCACAAAACAGGTGCTGTGGCGGGCATTTCGCCCGGTACCACGCTTAGCAGAGCGTGTCCAAAGCGGGATGTAGACAGATGTTGTTGACATCCAACGTCATTTCAGTACGGTGCATAAGTTTCAGCTTGGGTACATAAAGTTTCCAGCTCGGTGCGTCGAGATCCGTAATGTTGACGGATGTTGCTGGGCACTTCGGAAGTGTTTTGATGAGCATGTGCCTTGCCTACCTGTCTCCTTGATTTGAGGAGTTGGGCTGGCTGCCACCCCGCCTCACCACAGTGCTGTAGAGGTGGATACGCTGTCCTGTGGGTGGAGGCGGAGCTCGGAGGAGCTGTCACCAATCGTGACCCCTAATTGGGTTTCTCGTGCTTTCATGGCATGATGGATTGGGGCAGACACCACTTGAGGTTTCAGCCACGAACATTCGGATAAGTGGAAATTTTGGTTGAATAAATAAACAAACAAATAAATAAAATCAGCTGTCTCCGTGTCGCGATACAATACTAGACAGCTGCTTTGTGGAATACAGTAGTCTCCAGACTACAATGCATCTAAATTTCTGTTCAAGTTGGGACACGCCCTAAGAAAGCAATCTCATGTTTTGAATTGGTGACAAGAATGATCGTATATAGAAAAAAGAGCATTGAATATATATGAAGTGCATCAGCGCTTTTGGCATTGTACGTGTATAATTTCATTACACGATTATTGTTATGGGTGAATTTACAGAGTAGCGCGGAATGAAGTAACGAAACTGTGAATAACTCAACGTTGTACAATGGAATGACGCAGCAATGTATAAGTGTCAAACATATATGTCAGAAACTAGCTTAGCTAGGAAGCCATAGAATGGCACAAGGTTTAGCTAGGAGCTAGGAGGAGCCATGAGAATGGCGAGAGGTTTTAGGTGCTAGGAAAGTTGAGGAGAGAAAAGATGGTTGGATTAGAAGAGAGGGGAGTACAAGGAGGGGTTTGTACCCCCTACAGAAAGGTTCAGTAACAACCTACCAAGCCTATATTAAATTATAACTTATATAATTTGAACACACCCCCTAGGCTTGGTAGTCACATGCCCACACACACCCACACCCCCTAACCTAGCACCCCCATTCCAGCCACAGTGACAGCGACTCTAGGTCGGTCGACCCCACGGCGCGTGAGGCGGCGACGTCGACCGCAGGGGCTGCGGCGGCGACGGCGGCAGCGGCGGCAGTGTCGACAGCGGTGGCGGCGGCGGCGTGCGGCTGCGTGGCCCCGACGCAAGCGGCGACAGCGGCGGCGGCGGCGGCTTCGACAACAGCGGCAGCGGCGGCGGCACCCGCACCTCTCGGTGACGTGGCCAGGCCCCGCGACGGTGGGACGGCCGGCGGGAGTCAGCCGTCGTCTGCGGAATGGAAGAGGGCACAAGGGAAGGAGGGGGGTGGGGGGGGGGGGGCGCCACAGGCTGACATGCGGGCGGCCGGTCTAGCGGCGCCACAAGCGTCACGCGGCCGGCTGCAGCCCGACGACGCCGTCATGGAGCGGCGTCGATGCCGCAGCGGGGCGTCGACGTTGCGACGGCAGCACGACGTCGCCGTTACGCCGAACGCGCGCTGTCGCGTAGACGCCGCGGCAGCGTGACGGCGCCGTCACGTCGCGACAGCATCTTGACGCGACGGCGGAGCTGCGGCACGACGGCGCGGCCACAGCAGCTGGACGCGGGCGCCATGGACGTCGACGGCGGCGCCGCGGCACGACGACGCGGCCACAGCAGCTTGACGCGGCCGCCATGGCAGCGCGAGATAGAGAGAGAAACGAGCACGCAGGGGAAACGCGAGGAGCAGGCCCACGCGGAACGAACTGCTCTAATACCATGTCAGAAACTAGCTTAGCTAGGAAGCCATAGAATGGCACAAGGTTTAGCTAGGAGCTAGGAGGAGCCATGAGAATGGCGAGAGGTTTTAGGTGCTAGGAAAGTTGAGGAGAGAAAAGATGGTTGGATTAGAAGAGAGGGGAGTACAAGGAGGGGTTTGTACCCCCTACAGAAAGGTTCAGTAACAACCTACCAAGCCTATATTAAATTATAACTTATATAATTTGAACAATATATTGTATGTTATTGTAGACTATATAGGGTTGTGCCTTAGGGAGTACAATCCATTAGACTATATACCCCAGTATGATCTGTCCTAGTAAAAATTTCTCACTTTAACATGGTATCATGAGTAGGTAGTTCCCCCCCTAGCACTTCCGCCCTAGATCCTAGCCGCCCCGCACGTGCTGGCCCGTCTCCTAGCCAGCCCCGTCGCCTAGCCGGCCCCGCCGCCCAGCACGCCCCGTCGCCTAGCCAGTCCCGCCTTCTAGCTAGCCCGGCCGTCCCATAGCCGGCCCATCCCGTAGCCGGCCTCGTCCCGCGCCCGTCCCCTAGCCGACCCCGTCCCTTGCCCATCCCGTAGCCGGCCCACGCCGGCGCCTGTAGCCGGCCCGCGCCCGCGCCCGTAAAGATTTCGGCTTCAGCGCGCCGATGCTGGCAACAACACTCGACTGCTACGATGTGCTATTGGGACGCGATTGGCTGCGAAGATTCAATCCGCAAATCGATTGGACAACAGGCCAGTGCATAGTGAAGTGCGACAAAGGCTGACGAAAATTACCCACATGGCCGGAAGCAGAGACAACATCGACACGAGTCAACGCGGTGTGCCTCAAGCGAGCGGTCAAGAATGGAACGGATTTATACGCCGTCCATCTAACCGAATCGACGGAGCAGAACGAGGCGACCGACATCAACAAACTCTGCGCTTCGGTCCCGGATGACTTGGCAAAAATCATTCGGGAATATCCTGAGATTTTCCCGGACAACTTGCCAAGTGGAATGCCACCCGAACGACCCCATGACCACAAAATCGAGCTGGAGCCCGACGCGCAGCCTACTGTACGCACGCAGTGGCGCCTGACTCAACCAGAGTTACACGAATTGCGGAACCAGCTGGACTACCTCCTGGCAAAAGGGTTTATTCGGCCAAGCACGTCACCGTTCGCAGCGCTGATCCTGTTCACCCCAAAAAAGGACGGCGGACTTCGCATGTGTACGGATTATCGTGCCCTTAATCAGGTAACGGTAAAATCATGCTACCCAATCCCACGCACGGACGAGCTGATTGACAACCTTCGCGGAGCTCGCTATTTTTCGAAGATCGACATTCGCGGTTGTTACCATGAAATTCGGGTGTTCGCTGACGACTGCCACAAGGCCGCGTTTCGTATTCGCTACGAGAGTTACGAATACACGGTGATGCCGTTTGGATTAACGAACGCCCCATCGACGTTCCAAATCACCATGAACGGGGTGTTCCGCGATCTACTCAACAAATGTGTGATAATTTACCTGGACGACATCGTGATTTACAACAAGATCCGGGAGCAACTTTTAAAGGACTTGGAAGCGGTTTTTCAACGGTTGCAGCAGCATCGTCTCATCACCAATGGCTCCAACTACGAGTTTTTAAAACAAGAACTGTAGTTCCTGGGGCATCTGATCTCCACACAGGGGATTCGAATAGACCCGAAAAAACTCTGGGCAATTCAGGAGTGGAAACCGCCAACAAATCTGCAGCAAGTGCAATCTTTCATGGGTTTTGTGAATTACGTACGGCGGTTTATACCCAATATGGCAGGGTTAACTGGACCTCTAACCGACCTACTGCATAAAGGAACTTTTTACGAGTGGGGGGAGAAGCACCAAGCTGCGTTCGAGGCATTAAAAACTCTTTTAATATCGCCACCAGTACTTCGCATCGCTGACCCGGAACGGCCCTTCGAAGTCATCACCGACGCAAGTGACATCGCCATCGGAGCAGTGCTCATGCAAGATTTCGGCAATGGTCTACAACCAATCGCGTACGAGTCTCGGAAAATGCAATCTGCTTAGCGCAACTATCCGGTACACGATAAGGAGATGCTGGCGATCGTCCACGCGTTCAAAATCTGGAGGTGCTACCTGACTGGAGCAGACGTGACGGTGCAAACCGATCACAAATCTCTGCAGTACCTGAGAGCGTAGCCGAATCTCAACCCGCGGCAGATACGCTGGCTGGACTATTTGGAGTACAATTTCACGTACAAGATCACGTATAAAAAGGGCGCCAACAATATTGCAGACGCCCTCTCCAGACCATCTGCCCAATTCGCAGCAGTACTAGTCACCTAGAGCAACTCGCTACTGAGTGGACTATTTACCCACGGGTATTCCACTGACCCCTTTTTCGTAAATGACGGCCATCTCCCAATCACTACACGGAAAGGCGTCTATTACTTACGAAGCGGGACAGATCGAATTTGGGTCCAGAGTTATCGTCTACTTCGTGAATTACTAATTCAAGAAGTTCACGATTCAAATTTATCGGGACATTTCGGGGTTGATAAAACTCTGAAGGCGTTGCAGCGGTTTTATTACTGACCAGATATGGTGACGGACGTGCAGCGTTACGTGGCCGCGTGTCCGATCTGCCAGCGAATGAATTCATCACACCAGCGACCTACAGGACTGTTGCAGCCCCTCGAGTCACCTCAACGCCCATGGCAACACGCACCGATGGATTTCGTTACGGGTCTACCGGCTGGACCTAGCGGAAACGACGCAGTTTTGGTTGTCGTCGACCGATTGACGAAAATGGCACATTTCGCACCATGTCGTACAACCTTCACAGCCGAAGAAACCGCACGCCTCTTTATCTCGACCGCTGTTCGCCTCCACGGGATACCAATAGCAATCATTAGCGATCGAGACTCGAAGTTCACGTCGAAATTCTGGCAGGACACTTGGGCTCCGTACGGCACGCGTCTGCAGTTCTCATCCGCTTATCATTCCCAAACGGACGGCCAGACTGAAAGGACAAACCAAACGATGGAGCAGCTGATTCGGACAAACTGCCCCGACCGGAAAAAATTGGAGGACGTGCTGCCCATGTTGGAATTTTCCTACAACAACGCGCCCTCGGCTACGACTAATCACTCCTCATTTTACCTCAATCACGGGATGGACTCCACAGTACCAGTCTCCACCAACGTTGAAAGCCAAGTACCACGGTCGCAGCAGTTCGTCGAAGAATTACAGACTGCTCGAGACAAAGCTGTCGAACTTATGCGCAAGGCGAACGCAACTGCCCGACGGTATACAGAGTTACATCGACGGGATATTACAATGGCAGCAGGACAATAAGTCCTGTTGGACACCAAGAATTTACGACTGCCACTACCGACGAAATTACGACCACGTTTCTATGGCCCCTTCAAGATCATGAAGATGGTGACATCGGTGACCGCCCAGTTACGCCTACCCGACGATTGGCGTATTCACAACATGTTCCACGTAATCCTGTTGAGACCCTTTGTACCTGACACATCGGACATCGCCTGATAGCGATTTGTTCCGGATGTACGGCCACCAGCAGAGACGACCATCGAACATTCGAAGATTTTGAGCCATCGGATTTGTATCGAGGGTCAAGGACGACATGTTTTCTTTCTGATACGATGGACCAATCGAACCAGTGAGGACGACATGTGGGTGCCCTCGGACCAGATACAGTCACCTTCGATACTAGCGAATTATTTGGCTTGCAAGCACGTGGCTGATATAGATCACATTCGCTAAGAGGGGGGGGTGGTGTAAGGAATTTTCCATTCCTTACCGAACGGAACTGCTATCGCGTACGCTCGAACACACCCAAAGCTTTAGGACAGTTCCGGACCTTTCTGACGGAACCGCCTCGGCTTCTCCAGACCTTCTAGTTCGACCTTCGGGAGTTCTCCGGGCCCCGCTTCGTCACTTCGAGGCCCTTCGATCTCTTTCCCGAACCTTTCCATCGCATGGTTAGACTAGGTCTGGTGTTCCTATATCTTGGCTTGCAATTGTTTGTATCGTCATTCTGTGATTGAACACTTTGTTATTTATTTTTGAGCTACTCTGCTTGTTCATTCATAACACCAATTATATAACCATGTCATTCAGAATTTCGGCATGCTCTTACGCAAACTTGAATCTGCACATTCATTGGATGTCGTTCTTATGTCAGAACGCTGACACCACGAATCAAACGTCTGGTTTCGCTTGACACCAAACTGTACACAGCACTGACATGGGGCTTTCCCGCTTCGCATGATTTTCTCCCACCCCGATCGACGTCAAGCAGGCTCCTTGAGCTCCAAGCCAGGAATATCCGACGGTTGATAATCCCGGACATGGTTTTGCAGCTGAATGGGTTACACCAAACCACCATTTGGCACAGCAGCTAACCATCGCCTTGGGCTTCTCGCTGTTCTCCAGGTTCCCGCGCTTTGTCGCGTCGTGGTTTGGTTGGGTATGCCCCGGCAGGTTTGGCCCGAGCAAGCGGTCGCCTGGGTGCCGTGACGAAGCTAACCGACACGTGTGCGAACCTTCGCGAGCGTGTTGTAAATTTCGGGATGCGGAACTGGGGCGGGAAAGACGAGGAATCCAGCTCATTTCAGACAGGGTTTTAGGCGGTTTTGTACGCTATTGTGCGATTTAGGACGGCGACGCTGACCTGATGGGAGGCTCCTGTAGGGTTCTGAGGGCAGCCGAGGGCCTCCGAGTGAGCAAAGAAAGCCTTGGGGTTCCCACATAACCTAGGGCAAGGTCCGGCTTGGGCTTGGCTTGAGTTCCACCATCTACACTAATGTGTGATCAGTAACACTCTGCAGCCATTGTAGAAACACAGATCCCTGATCGACAGTGGAGCGAGGCTGCCGCCCTTTTTAGATAGCCCTAATTCTCTTATGCCGTGATGTCAATGCAGTCAAGGGGATTGTCAGCTTCTGTGCAACTGTCACCGCATTCTGCGCTGGTCGAAATGTCTCTTAACTCAACAGATCCGACAATAGGCGGCGGAAGCCCCTTAAAAGACTGGATGCCTCGCCTAGCTGAGTTCTCATGTGGCGCCTCCGATAGCCCTCGACTGCCATCAAGCGGCGGCGGCGGCACGCGCAATAGCGGTAGTCAGCGACCTCTATCTCGCGTGTCCCTTTTCGGCAATTCTGGAAGCGGGGTTGGGAGGAACTTGATGGATCGGCTGCAGCAGCAGGACGGCGCGGATCAGATTCAGCAGCAGCAAAGACTCGCCTCGCACGCTGGCCTTTCCGCGGGGAAGGCGCTCGGCCCCTCCTCGGCTGCAGAGGTCCAGTCTCCTTCCAGCATGCCCCTCGGATCCAAGATCGTTGCCTCCGAGGTCCCCGAATCGTCTCCCATAAGTGTGCTATTTTGTAAGTACCCCTCGCTGCAGCTTCCGTGTGCTGTGCCGTTTCGTCAGCGTGGAAATAACGTGGGCGGGCACTTTGGCTCTTCCCTTGACTCTCGCCAAGACCCGCAATTACGTATTGGAATATTAAGTTCGAGCTACTTGCGTCAGGGTTGCTCGGTATGAGCGAGAGCAAGAGCAGTGCCGTCAATACGCCGTTAGTTAAGTGGTTACCTGTCTGCTGTTTTCTCTCTCCCTCTGCCACCGCTATCTGCAGGTCCTCAGACGCCGTCGTCGTTAGCATCACCCGAGTTCCGTTTTGGTGCAAACCCCTCGCCGGAGTTCCTCTCGCCCATGCGCATGCCGGCCTTCCAGCAGCTGCTCCCCTCGCCTCTCTCCCAATCCTTTTCTCTTGCCGACACGCCAGCCAAAGCGCCCGCCTCCGCGCCAGCTACTTCCGAGCCCTCGTCGGCGACCTTGGCTACAACGTCGTTTCTTCCACCGCAATTGCCGTCGCCGTCGCCGTCGGCGATGGACGTAGGCAGTGCGGCGCCGGATGTGAAGGCGCACGCGCACATTGTAGAGGAGGAGAGCCTTCCGCAGCTGGCGCAAGCGGGAGCAGGGGTTGGCAGGGGCGCGGATCAGATCGACGCGAATCGGGGCGTTCTCGACGGCGCGCTTGACGCTGGCGGTAGTGAGAAGTGTTTCTTGCGGCCCGCCCTGCCGCCCCTTAACATCGACGCGTGCAGCAGAGGGAACAAAATGCGCCGCGGCCACCTGCCGCCCATCCCCCTGCCGCGCAACCCGAGCTACTCCAAGGAGCACCGTCTGGGTCGCAGCGGCAGCGGGCGCAGCAGCGGCGCCTTCGAGGAGCTCCTCCTCGCCGCCTCCGCCGCCTCGCCCTCCGCGCACCCGTCGCCGTCTGGCAGCTCGGGGGGCTGGCACTGGCAGAGCCTCAGCCAAGAGGTGCGTCGCCGTGCTGGACTAGGTGCGAGGGAGAGCGACCTGCGGCGTCACAAGATGAGGGTCGAGGGCGCTAAGCGCTCGTGCACCGCGTCTATACGCTCGCATGTTCCATTCAATTCCCGCCGTCTCTTCTCCTTCTCATTTTACAATTTTCCCCCCTTCCACCTTCCCCCCTACACTTCCGCACCCCTACCCCCCCTTCCCCTTCTCTTCCCACAAACCGCGTGCGCTCGATGTTCAGCTGCGGTCGGCGCAGCAGGCATGGTCGCTGGAGGGCAGCGGAGTGGCGGAGGAGGGCGGGTGGGGGGCGCAGCAGGCGGAGTGGATGGTGGGCGGGGACGACGAGGGGCTGGGGTCCGCGGAGTCGCTGCAGCTGATGCGGCAGTGGGAGGCGGAAGTGGAGGGGCTTCCGCTGACGGTGGGAGGGACAGTGGTGATGGGCATGGGGGGCGAGGAGGAGGAGGAGCCGGGGTCGCCCAGCACGCCCAGCATGGCGCCGCGCTCCACGGACCTCGAGTGCCCCGACGCGCCCAACTCCAGGTATGCCGCGCCCTCCGCCACCCCTAGTCGCGCTGCCCTCCCCGCGCCCTTTCGGGCCTCCCGCGCCTCTGCTGGATGCGTCGATCCCTACCCTTGACGTGTTGATGCAGTCGTAACGCGTGTGGGGGTTGTGCCGTGTGTGCGAAACGTGGCGTGCAGGGTGCGAGGGGAGATGTGTCGCACGAGCAGCCTGCACGACACGAAGCTGCTCATGACGACGCAGCTCAAGCGGTCGCACTCCATATTCCTCTTCGACCGCCACTTCGAGTTCGTGCGCGAGATAGGCCGAGGCTCCTACAGCATGGTCAGCCCCGCCTCTACGCCCAACCACCCTCTCCCCTGCCTCCCCCCTCCGCCCCCTTCTTGCGCCCTCTCCCCTCCCACCCGCCCCCGATCAAACGGCCTCTCTCGCCTTTTCCTGTTCCTTATCACTCTCCTGGTTTCCCACCCTCCCTTCCTGACCAAAACCCCCACCACCCCCTATCCCCTCGACCCTCTCGTCCGACCAAACACAATCCCTCCGCCGTTTCCGCCCCCCTCTCCCTCGCGCCCACATCCGTCCATTGCTCTCTCCTGTTGTGGAGTACCCCTGCTGACCCCTGTGCCAACCCCCCAACCCCCCTCCCCCCCCGCCCCCCTCTCCTCTGTGCAGGTGTACGAGGCGCGCGACCGCAAGGGCGGGTCGCGGTGCGCGGTGAAGGTGAGCAAGCGGCAGTTCCGCAGCAAGGGCGAGCGCGAGCGGTACATGCACGAGATTGAGAGCGTGGCGAACGTGCCCGAGCACCCGCACATCGTGCGGTACTACCGCGGGTGGCAGCAGGACAGCCACTTCTACCTGCAGATGGAGCTTTGCGACAGCGGCAGCCTGCGCGCCCTCCTGGACTCGCTGCAGCACCCGCTGCCCGAGGAGCAGGTGAGCCACGCACACACGCCACCGCACCGCTGCTCGCCCAGCCTGCCATGTGCGGGGTTTGAGGGACTCGTGGGCATGTGGCCGTGATGCTTTGGGCATGGGGCATGGTGCATGGGGCATGGGGCACATGTGTGGTCGCATGATGAGGGTGAGGGCGAGGTGCATGACCGAAATGTGGCAAGGGAGTCATCACTTTCCCCTTGCCCCTTGCCTCAAACCAGCTCGTTTAGTCGGGCCAGTTGACTAGCGGCTGTAGCTTGCAATGCATTGGCTCACCTTTGCAGCCTCTGTGTGTGTGTGTGTGTGTGGTTCAGGTATGGAGGTATGCCCGTCAGGTGGCGTGTGGGTTGGATCACATTCACCGCAGGGGTGTGCTGCATCTGGACATCAAGCCCGACAACATCTTCATTGACGCCCATGGTACTGCACCACACCTTGCCCAGCCCCTTCCCCCCGCTCCCACCTCTCTTCCTCTATGTATGTTTTGCATGTGCCCTGTAGGGCGTCTCACTGCATGTATTATACATCCGCCCCCTTCAACCTCTGTCTGTGCATGCTGTGCTGCAGGCAATCTCAAGATTGGTGACTTTGGGCGGGCGGTGTGGGAGCAGCGGTGGGAGTGGGAGGAGGGCGATGGGGGGTACCTGGCGCCGGAGTTGCTGCAGGACGAGCCGCCCACCACGGCCACCGACATGTACAGCTTTGGCGCCATGCTCTTCGAAATGGTATTCACCACTCGCCTCCCGCGCTCTGGCCTCCCGCCCTCCGCCTGCCCCTCTCCCTGTGGTGCGCCGTCCCCTTTCAGCTCGCACGGTGCCCCCTCACCCTACGGTATGGCGTCCCCCTTCAGCCCCTCCCCCTACTGCGTCGCCTTCTCCTCTGCAGCCCCGTCGCCTGTGGCCTCTGCCCCAGGTCGCCCCAACTCCGGCTTCCCCCCGCCGCGCTCCACCTCCCGGGGGGCAGGCAGCCCAGCCAAGGGGGGCAGTCCGCTGAAGGGGGTGGGGCAGCGGGGGGGCATTGGGGGGAGCCCTGTGAAGCACATGGTGGGCAGTGGCAGCCCTGTGAAGGCAGGGGCGGAGGGAGCTGGCAGCCCTGCAGAGAGGGACACAGGAGGCAGCCCGGGCAAGTGCATGGGGCGTAGAGGGAATGCAGGGCTGGCAGGGGCCGTTGCAGCTGCAGCAGGGGGAGTGCAGGGGAAGGAGTGGAGTGCCGCTGCAGCGGCTGCAGCAGCAGCTGTGGCAGCTGCAGACGCAGCAGTGGGAGCGGGGTGTGGGCGGTCAGAGCATTTGAGGGAGCTGGTGTTTGCGCTGCTGCATGTGGACGCACAGGAGAGGCTGCAAGCGCATGAGGTGGTGACCATAGCAGACGCCGTGCTGCGCGGGGAGGTGGACCTGGGGCAGGGCTGCATGGGCAAGGCTCGTGAAGGGGACCAGCACACACAGCAGATGCAGGGGGGGGTGGTGCACACAGCAAACAACGAGGAGGTGAATTGTGAAGATTGTGAAGCTGCTATGGCATTAGATTGAGTTGCTTGCAGCCCATAGGGAAAGCTTTTTCTAGTTATGGTGATGGGCCAGGGCCAGGGCCTATCATTTGCCAGACATCTGGATGTGTTGCTCAATGGCCAGAAAAAGAGAATGTTCAAGTTCAAGACCAGATGAACGGTGTCTACTAACTTGTACAAGTCGGCAAATACCGAAATCGCCCTAGGGTCTTAATTTGTATACTAGCTAAAAGAGGGTGAGTCTTATAAGGAAGCCTGAAAATAAAATACCCGGGTGATGTCTAGTACACATACTCGATAGATGTTAGAATGGAAGTATGACTAGAATGCATGAGTACAAGGGTATATGACCTAAGGGTTGTACCCTCTAAGGCACAAACCTATACAGTGTACACAAACATAATGATATACCGTAATCCCCCGTATATAACACCCTATGGTGTATATAAAAATTCACTAAAAAAATGACTGGGTCTTAACAGTGGCCCGGAAAAATATAGTGCCCATGTGTTATGTAAAATGCAATTTAAATTTGAGTGTTTCAGGCCATGTGTGTTCAAAAATGCGCAGAGCGACTGTTAGCGAGGTACAGCATCCACTAAGACGAAACTCACGAACGAATCGTCGTTGGCCAATCCCTGCTGAGTTGTGCGGCACCTGCGACCGTCGTGATCGCGACAGAATCCGCGACTTCGACGGGAGGATTCTGACTGTCAAATCACAACAGAATCCGCGACTTCGACGGTCGAAATCCTCCCGAGTCTCGACCTTTGCTGACGTTTCGATTTCGCGCTGCAACTTGTATTGATGTTTCTGCCCGTTTTTTCGCTGCTAATAGTAGTTGACATTGCGTTTTTCATCCTGTTCGTCCTTTTTCTCAATCGAGCCGAGCTTGAAAAACTACGAAATACTGTTATTTGCTGCATAAAACGAGGAGGGTGTTATGTAAAATGCAGCCCCCGAAAAGCGGGTGCTCTCCTAAATTCACCCTATCATAAGCTCTCCCCCGCATAAACCACCCGCGGAGTGACTATTTCGGCGGGTGTTATATACGGGGGATTACGGTATGTTTTGACACACCCCCTGGACTGTATAGGGGCAGTTCCTGACGAGAGAACGAGCAACTCAGGGTGGCACTACTAGTCCAACCTTTGAGACAAGGGTCTAAAGACCAGTCAAACGAGTACAGACCAAAGGCAAGAGCAAGACCAGGGCGGCACTACTAGTCCAGCCAGTGGGAGAGGCCACAAGGCCAGTAAGGGTAAAATATATA